CTCATAGCACTCCAGGGTTTTAAAAGTATAATTTAGAGCGGTTGTCATGGAAAACCTCATGATTCTGAAATCACAGTGGAGATAGGAATTTTTCTTTATGTCAGCTTGGAAAGAAATATTCCTGGAGCTGAAGTAATAAAATCTGGCAGCTCACCTTGCCTTTCTGGTATCCTATACTGATAAGCTGAAATTCTGTCCATCACTATAATGTAAAATAGAAACAGCATATCACCCAGACAGTTAAAATACTTACGCAACTTCATTCTTCCTAAAAATAAAAAAGAAAACTCAAATGAACGTAGAAATTCCTGAAGAGCCTCACACCAAGATGGCCTTAGAACATGCCTAACACATATTGACAGCTCAGAGACATCATGTAAGGCAGCGAAAACTTTTTGCACAACATGGCTGCCTCTGTGTTGATGTTGCCCCCTCCTACATAATGCCTAGGGATACCATATTCACAGCAAATACCAGCTTCATCATCAAGCAGAGGAGCAGCAGCCACTCATCCTGCCAGCACTCAGCGGATGGCAATTTCAGAGAGTCACTGTGCGCTCCCAAAGCAAGGAAGAGCAGATCTCCAACATGAATAAACATGTTAGTTCCAGGTCCTGGTGCCAGAATAACTTCTGGGTTTTCTTTGGAACTGTATATTCTAAACAGTTTCCCTGGAGGAAACCAGGAATTCACCTCCTATCTGGCTGCCCTCATCACCAGGCCACCCCCATCGTTCCTTTATGGGCATTTTCCTGAAGGCCCCATGAAATGCGATTCTTTCTTGTACACTGGCTAGTGAGGGCACAGAGGGCACACATTTCCCAACTGATAGCCCACAGCTTGGCAATTAGACTGCTCGCTTTGGATACAGGGGTTTGAAGTGCAGCATTTCCCACATCATCTGCAGTCACGTAACCTCAGGGCCACGGACTGTCACTGCCTAGCACAGGTAGCAAAGTCCTTTTGTTTCACCCAGGCATGCCTGCAAACAGAGGCAGTAGCTAGGCAGCCCACAGAGCACTCCTGCCTCATCCAGATGGAGGATGACGATAGGATAGGATAGGATAGGATAGGATAGGATAGGATACAACTTCCCTGTCATTGTTGGGTACTAAGGTGGGCACTGTAAAGAACAGGTTAGTCAAATTTCCTTCAGAAATGGCACAGGCATACCTGATGCTGCATTATGGTGGAAGGAATGGGATAAAAGACTTCTTGATGTCACTTTTTTTATTCCAGGGTCCAGTGCACCTCACACAATTGGTAAAGCACTTTCTATGGGCAGCCTGGATACAGAAATGCCCCTCTGTCCTGGTGTTCCAAAGAGAGGGGCAGAAATAAGCCATCTCGGCTCTGACTGAGAATTTGAAAGTGCAAATATCCTTGTCCTGGGAAAGGACAAGGACCAACAGTCACAAGTTGTATCAAGAGAAATTCCAGTAAGATATTGTCATGGGCAAAAACTGTTTACTCATTCAGGGAATTTCCATGAATGTAATTTATTTGCCAATTAACAATCTATTAATTACAGATTCTGGTAACAAAGAAGACCGAAAATAACCAACTAACCAACCCTTAGGAAGAATTCCCCTGCTTCCCTCCAGACACATCTTCCCCCTGCCATTTTTGCTCTTTGGTCCCCTCACCACACGCTACGCTAAGCCCCTTTGATGAGGCGGCGGGCAGTGCAGGAGACTGGGGCCAGCGCATGCATGGTGGCTCCTTCACCTGCAGCAGCCCCTTTCGGGTGGCACCTCTCAGCTCCTGCTCAAGCAGCCACTTGGCTCCAGCCCCTGCCCAGGCATGGTCTTCTCTCTTTCCTCCTTTCTGCTCCAGCCTGGTCTTTTTTCCTCCTTCTCCTCCTGCTCTGGCCTTGTTTCTCCTTTTGCTCAGTGTTTACCACCCTCACTTTAAGATGTTTTCACAGAGGTATCACAGACTCCCCTGAGGATGAGCTCAGCCATGCCCTGCAGTGGGTCCGTTGGAACTGGCGGGAACCAGCTGTGACTGACTCAGGGCAGCCCCCTGGCAGTGCCTCGCATTCACATGATGAAATCACGTCTGCATTTTGTCGTAGTCCTCATGAGGTGCTTTCAACTTGTATTTGTCAGCTATGCAAATTCACACAACAATCAGATTCGATGATGTTTTCACTATCAGGGAAAAAGATCACAGTCAACATACATCATAAGTCAGTGTCCTGGTTTCGGCAGGGATAGAGTTAATTTCCTTCCTAGTAGCTGGTACAGTGCTGTGTTTTGGATTTAGGGTGAGAACAAAGTTGATAACACACCGATGTTTTAGTTGTTGCTAGGTAATGCTTACACTAGCCAAGGACTTTTCAGCTTCCCATGCTCTACCGACTGAGAAGGCTGGAGGTGCACGAGAAGCTGGGAGGGGGCACAGCCAGGACAGCTGACCCAAACTGGCCAAAGGGACATTCCATACCATGTGACGTCATGCTCAGCATATAAAGCTGGGGGAAGAAGAAGGAAGGGGGGGACGTTTGGAGTGATGGCGTTTGTCTTCCCAAGTAACCGTTACGCGTGATGGAGCCCTGCTTTCCTGGAGATGGCTGAACACCTGCCTGCCCATGGGGATTAGTGAATGAATTCCTTGTTTTGCTTTGCTTGCGTGCGCGGCTTTTGCTTTCCCTATTAAACTGTCTTTATCTCAACCCATGACTTTTTCTCACTTTTCCCCTTCTGATTCTCTCCCCCATCCCACCGGGGGGGAGTGAGCGAGCGGCTGCGTGGTGCTCAGTTGCTGACTGAGATTAAACCACGACAGTCAGTTTAAACATCAAAGTTCAAAGATAGTGTTCTAACCAGGAGTTCGAATTCTCTTATTTCTTATCTTTTCATCTTCTAAAATATCTGGATCCAAGTCCCACAGTTCTGTACACACACACACACAGAACCATCATGACTTAGCATCCGGTCTGCAAATCCCTTCTAAGCCAATGGGAAACACAAACTATGTGAAGTCTCCTTGAAGAGCTGATGCCCCTATTAATCACAACACACATCCAAAAACCACCAACTGTATTACGAAAGGAAGAGAACAACATTTTCTTTCTTTGCAAAGCCTGGCAGCAAAAGGTGGCAGTATCACCTGTTTTTTTATCTACTAGCCTAGCAGAAAACACTTGCCCGTTGAAAGGCAGATCTGTGCTCGGTTTCCTCTTCATCTTGAGTAGTCTTAGATCCAGTAAACACAACATAACTGTCAGAAGAGAGTTTGTACCTTCATCCACAAATACAGGAAAAGCATGACTTGCTGGGAGTCCTGTAGTCCAGTTCCTGGCCCTGCCCCAAGGAGTGTTTCAGATTTTATCCTATTAGAAGTTAATATAAAATGCATGAATAGGCCAGGGAACAAGGACAAGAATCCAGATTCTTGGAGAGAAGACTGGCACATACCTCCTGCTTGAAGACTACTCTGAATAGAGAGTTAGTGGAGCCATCTTCCCACGCCATAAGTCAGACCCCCAAGCCTCAGAAAGAGTTAACCTAAAGGCACCTACCTGTGCCCAATGTACTGGGTACCCTGATTGGGTAGCTCCTGCCACCAGGCCATTTCCTACCTCCTGATCACTACCAGAGCTTGTCTCCAGCTCCTGAGGAGCCAGAAAGAAACTTCAGCGAATCATAGAATTATAGAATCATTTAGGTTAGAAAAGACCTTTAAGATCATTGAGTCCAACCGTAAACCTAACACTGCCAAATCCACCACTAATTAATCCATGTCCCTAAGCACCACATCTACATGTCTCTTAAATACCTCCAGGGATGGTGACTCAACCACTTCCCTGGGCAGCCTGTTCAAATGCTTGACAAACCCTTTCAGTGAATAAGTTTTTCCTAATATCCAATCTAAACCTCCCCTGGCACAACTTGAGGCCATTTCCTCTTGTCCTATCACTCATTACCTGGGAAAAGAGACCGACACCCACCTCACTACAGCTGTACTACTCCTTTCAGGTAGTTGTAGAGAGTGATAAGGTCTCCCCTCAGCCTCCTCTTCTCCAGGCTAAACAACCCCAGTTCCTTCAGCCGTTCCTCAGAAGACTTGTTCTCCAGACCCTTCACCAGCTTCATTGCTCTTCTCTGGACACGCTGCAGCACCTCAATGTCCTTCTTGTAGTGAGGGGCCCAGAACTGAACACAGTATTCGAGGTGTGGCCTCACCAGTGCCAAGTACAGGGGGACAATCACTTCCCTACTCCTGCTGGCCACACTATTTCTGATACAGGCCAGGATGCCATTGGCCTTCTTGGCCGCCTGGGCACACTGCCGGCTCATGTTCAGCCAGCTGTCAACCAACACCCCCAGGTCCTTTTCTGCCAGGCAGCTTTCCAGCCACTCTTCCCCAAGCCCCTAGGGCTGCATGGGGTTGTTGTGGCCCAAGTGCAGGACCCAGCACTTGGCCTTGTTGAATTTCGTACAATTGGCCTTGGCCCATCGATCCAGCCTGTCCAGGTCCCTCTGCAGAGCCTTCCTACCCTTGAGCAGATCAACACTCCCGCCCAACTTGGTGTCATCTGTGAATTTACTGAGGGTGCACTCAATCCCCTCGTCCAGATCACTGATAAAGATATTAAACAGAATAGGCCCAAATACTGAGCCCTGGGGAACACCACTTGTGACCGGCCAACTGGGAACACATAAATTTCTAGAGCCATGACAAGTGGTCAATTTTTATCTTCTGTCTTGATAAGCCTAAAAAAATCAGTAACCCTTTACGGCTGTTTTTTACAGTGAAAGCATTTAGCTGGACACCATCTCTTCATGTCTGCTGCAATGTCAGTGGATCATCCACAACCTGGTCCACTGCCAGGTTACCCTGGAAGTCTTCTTGGTGTCTGGCTATGGGGATAGGTGTATCTCCGTAGTTTATTCGCAGACACAGGTCTGTTTTTCTCTGGAGTTATCACCACATAAAAGAGGCTATCTTATCCAGCTGGGTAACTCTTCGACAAGAATTCATCAAGTGTCCACATGACATCACCTGTGGAAGCGCCGGTGAGTCACAGCGGGGGAGGGCGCGGGCGCGGCCGCCTGCCCCGCCGGGACGGCACGGGCCACGCTGCTGAGGAACGCTCATTCCCTCCGCGGCCCCGGGGCGGGAGAAGGCGGCTCTCCTCCCGCGCAGCAAGAGGCTGCGCCGCCGGGCCCCGGCG